GGCTGCCTTTGTGCAGTGGATGAGTATCCACGACGACGACGACAACGATGACGAGATGCTGCGTGCCTAAGTGAAGTGCAGCTCCGTTTTTTTTTTTTCGTTTGCGTCCCACAGTATTGTAGTTTTCCGTTAGTTTTTTGGGTTTTTTCGCTTGTATTGTTGCTGTTGCGCAGACAATGTTGTATACTGTATTTGCTTTTGTCTCAATGAAGCTTGCTGCTTGGTCAAAACCTTCAACTAAGACGAGATTTGGACGAAAAAAAAAAAAAAAAAGAATGAATGAATTTTTTCGATTTTGATTTATTCTTTCAAAATCCTTCCCCGCGTGCTTGTTGGGCAAGGATGGGGTTGAGGTTGAAACGAAGAAAATACACCTTGCACACACGCACACATAGCATGAACATGCACACACAAACACACACACACACACACACACACACACACACACACACACACACACACACACACATGGCATGAACATCAACGACTTGCACACACACACACATGGCACGTACCACCAACGAAAAGCATCACGAGATGGGTGCAGACAAAAACGCCTGCGAGACATCCGCAGCGACAATTTCAGGCGAGACAACATTCAGTGGAATGGCTGATTGGACTTCCGCCTCGAGCGACTTTTCAAATGTACACACAGAGGAGGCCTGCATGGGATCGAGCAGATGAAAGTGCCGCCGAGTGCACACATTCTGAATGACCTGTCCGGTCTCGTCCATCACGGGCACAATGTGCGCCAGGGACGCGAAAATGCGGCCGTCCTTGCGCCGGCTCATCATCAGGCCGCTCCATTCGATGCCCTTCTCAATGCTGTGCATAATCTCGAGCCCTCGTTCAATCATGAGAGCGCAGGTCGGGCAGCCGGCCACGTCTCGAACAAGCTTGCCGAGTGCCTCTGTCCGCTGGTAGCCTGTGACAATTTCCCACATGTGATCGACAAAAACGTAGCGATGGTTCTTGTCGGTGATTTCGACAGTCATCAGGTTGGCCGCTTGGATTTGCTGCTGCAGCCGCCGCTGCTCGGCCTCCAGCTCCATGATTTCGCGCTTGGCACGATCGTTCTCGGCCTTGAGCGTGTCATTTCGGCGTCGCGTGAAGGCGAGAAACTCGGCCGCCTTCTTGAGCACGGTCGCGCGGGACGCGTTCTTGACATTCTCTGGGGCGGGGAGCGAAAGCACCAGCTCTTGCATGGATGTGCGCAATCGGTCCCGGGCGCGTTGCTCGGCTTGCTTGTGACTCATTCCTCGCTCCTTGACCTTCTTGCCTCGCGCGGCGCCCGCACCAGAGCCCATGGAAAACGCGCCCGACTCCTCGTCCGAACTCATGTCCATGCTAAATTCTTCGTGATGCGCAGAGTCAGCCGCTGCAGGCGGTGCTGCCATCGAAGCGGCTGCAGCAGTTGAGGTAGAGTGGGCCGCAGAGCCGGTGCTCTCAGTTTCGCTGGCAGCTGGCGACTCGGCCTTGGACAGCTCATCGAGCGCGCCAGGACGGACGGGAGGGTTGACGCGATAGACAGAGTCGGCAACGCCAAGGTTGAGGCGATCACGGTACCGCTCGACCTGCAGCTTGCGGTTGATGGTGCACATGTCCATGGTTTCGGGCGCAGGCTGGCTGGTCCAGTTGGCCACGCTCAATTGCTCACGTGTGGCCACTGGCACGTTCAGGCGAGGCAGCGCCATGTTGTTGAAGATGGCCTCGATTGAGTTTGAGACTTGCTGCGTGGCAACAGCACCAGTGTGAGGTTTGGCGGCTGTAGAGGACGAGGAGGAGGTGGCGGAGCTAGTGGTGGTGGCAGCGGCAGCGGCATCGACGGCAGCAGCAGCAGCAGCAGCAGCAGCAGCAACATCAGCGGCAGCAGCTGCAGCAGACGGGAATGTCAACGTACTTGTGGGCTGGCCCATCAGCTGCAGGTCGTGCATGGCGTACGAGACATGCGAGGCGAGCTTGTCTGGCCCGATCTCGCCGTCGTTGCGGTACAAGGCGCGAACGGCCGAGTCGAGCACATTGGCAAAGTCATGAGTGACAAGCGGAGCGGCCGTGTCCAAAAAGTCTTGCGAGGCAGAGGCCAGCTCGAGCGGATCGAGCTGCTTTTGCTGCTGCTCCGTCTGGGCTTGCTCGAGTTGCCCAAACAAGCTCTGGAGCAATCGGTATTGCTGCTCTTGCACGCGGCGCGACTCGTTGTAAATGCCAGACAGCCGGTCTTGTGTGGCCTGGCTGTCTCCGGCAAGCGTGTGGCCAGCCGCCACCGACGCTCCCGTTGCGTCCTGGTATATTTGCGAGTGCATGGTGAGCGGGAAGAATGGCTCGCCCCCTGTCACCACCAGCGCTTGGTTGGCAGGAATGACAAGCGGTGTGCGGCTCATCGACACGGGCATGAGTTCCACGCCAAGGTCGGTGAACAGCTTTGCAGCGGAGCTTGGCGTTCCAAACAAGGCCTGACAGGCCAAAAAACAAAACAAAAAAAAAGAAAAAAAAGTATAAGCAAAACACATCCAGCACATCCAGCGCACGAAATAGGCTCAAATAGGTGTGCTTGATTGGCCCACTACCTGATGGCACATGGAGGCTGCGCTCTGGATGGATGTTCCAGCTGGAATCACGAATGGGATTGCCGTGGCGACACTGAGCAGGCCGTCATTGAGAAACAGAGTGACTGGCGAGTCACTTGCAAGAAGCGCCCTGTCAAGGATATCACGCAACGCCAAGAACGACCAGACAGAGAGTGAGTTTGTTGAACTGAGTCAGGTCGACGTGTCAATCTGAGAGGATGAGAGTGACTCGTTGTTTGCGTCAAACGCAAACGACCAGCGGAGCAAAGACCGCTGAGATGCCGTGCCAGGTACAAAAGAAAGGGGAGAAGCAACCAAGCCAGAGTGTCAAAGGCGTGGAGTTGGCTCACACCCAAGCGAGCAAACGGGAGAGGGGGGGGGGGGAAAAAGTCGGTACAAAAGGTGCGACAGGGCAAAGCGGCAATGACGCTGCTGCCGTTCTCGCTCTCGGTCAAGCGCGGTCGAGCTGAGTCACACCGTCTGCCTGTTGTGTGTTGCTTTGTGTGCGAGTGAGTCGCCATCATCGTCGGCGCTCAAGGAGTGAAGCGACGAGAAGGGACAACGCCAACTCAAACCCGTCCAACCGGTTCAACCAGTGCATCGCTCTCTCACTCTCGCCATCTCATCCGCTTCAGTCTTCAGAAATGCGAACTGTGCACGCAACAACGAGCAACAGACGGGCGCGGTGGGTGGAGGGGAGCAGCGGAAGGGTGTGTGAATCGAGCTTTACTGCATTGAAAGATGGCGCAAAGAACGAGAGAGAGAGCTGTACAAGAAAAGAAAAGAGAAAGGGCGAGAAATAGGGGACTGGGAGTAGTATCGTAAGTAATCGGGGGGGGGGGTACAAAAACGCAAGATTGAAGCGAATTCGGTGGACGAGCAGGGGCGGGCGTCGTGTCCATATGCAACATACTGTACGATGGGCCGGTGGCAGCGCACATTATCCCCGCTGTTGTGTGGCTCGGAAGGAAAGCCGCTCGCTCATTGCTTGTTTTCCATCATGGCGACCGCCACCTCGTTGTATTACGAGTACAATGGTTTGGTGGATTTGTACTTTGTCGTTGACGAGACCACCGACACTGCACTCCGCCAGACCTGGCGCAATGTCGATCCAGCGTTTTTCGTGCCGGACGAGAATCTCGACGGCTGGCATGCACGACGACCCTTCTATACAATCATTATGCCGTCTGCCCTCGCAACTCTACCCAGCTTTAGGCGCAATCCGGTCTGGTTTAAAAAGTACTACGCGCTCGATTTGCTGGCTCGCGCGTCGCTTGGCGAGACTTGGGCGCTGCCTTTCAACGTGCCGACGTACGAGTATTTTATTGTGACCGACGTGGAAGTTGTCTGGAGCAGAGGCGTGTTGAACACTGCATCGACAACCGCCTCCGCCTCCGCGGTCAATCGGCGAGCCGCACTGCGGGCAGCCCTGGCCGCCAACGACCACCGAACACACTTCTTTGGCGTCACAATGTTCCCTGGCCATCCACCAGTGTTTGACGATATCATGAACGCATCTGCCGACTTGATCCGTCGGACGGACGATGCCGCTTACCAGCAACTGCGCCGCAAGACAGCCAACTTGTCGACATACACTTGGTTTAACGACATGCCTGTCTTTCCAGCCATGTATGTGCCCGAGTTTCTTGCATTCATTGACACGTCACGCAGACACGAGGAGGTGACCTGGTTCTGGTTTGACCATCTTGTTTTCCAGTACTGGCTGCTGGCCTTCAAAGACAAGCAGATGGACATTCTCGAACACTTGGTCCCGGCACAAGGTGGTGTTCGTGCTCACAGTTTCTCGCTCGGGGAGGCCTCTGCTTACGACGAGGTGCTATGCGATGTGGCTCAGCCACTTTGGACGACGGTCTCCAACCGATGCGCATCCACACTGATGTACACGCAGATAGATCGCTCAAACAGCTTTTGTGCAGTCCCTGCGCCGTATCCCAGTTTGGAGTACATTCCGCTGTGCTATCCCAAAAAGGACTAGCCCTGAGCTTTGTGCGCCGTTGATTGTTGTTTGTTGTTATTTATTCTCAAACCTTCGTGCGAGCGTTTGCCTTTTGATTGTTCTAATAAATTTGCTTTGACGAACTATGTAAGCTCCAAGATTTGATATTGGGCAGACCGTTGCCGTGATCTCGACCCGCTTTGCTCTCAGCAGTACTATCGTATTGATGGTTAAGAACAAATCGGCGTTCTGGAAGCGTTTGCAAAACTACCTGTTCGTTCGAGGGATGGTGGCACTCATTTGAGTTCTTCAGGTTCAGCTCTACAAAACTTGTACAAGCTCAAACTGGGAACCATTCCGGCTTTGGTTCACGCTTCGGGGTAATCCACATGTTGATCGTAGCACCTGAATTCATGCTTGCACGGTTTCATGATGGAAAGGTTGACACTCAACGAAGTACTTGTATTTGTCAAGCCATGCAAGGTAAAAACACACACAAACAAACAAACAAACAAACGAAAAAAAAAAAAAAAACAAAAACAAACAAACAAACAAACTACCAAACTACGTCTACAAAACTACCCGAACTCAAACACAATCTGCTCCCTCGAAGTGAGCAAAAGTCATCATCAGAAGAAAACACAGCAACACACCACCAGAGAAAAGGAAGCGAGCGTTCTCTGGTTAATTCGGCGGTTGATTCTCGCTCAAGCTGTTCCAAGTGAGAAAGCCATGAAATTTCATCAAACAGTAAGTACCACGTGCATACACGGCAGTATCAGCATCAGAGAAAGGGGACCCATACTTGAGCCAGTCAAGTGCAGAATTCTGGCTGCGTGCTGCTGCCATCACTCGCTGTCCTGCTTCGCTCATTTCGTTATACCACAAACTGTTTACATGCGAGTGAGCAAAAGCACTGCAGAGCAGCACGTACACACATTCATTGTTGATCTCAATCTGGTTCTATACCTGAGCCCCTTAAGCGTGGTATTCCGCAGGAGCGCTTCTGCCAACCTTGCGGCGCCAGCATCGCCAATATGATTCTTTCCGAGACTGTGTACAATGCAGTGAGTACATGCAGCTTGTTCAATTACCAATGCGATACGAAGCAGCAGAAAAGCGAGAGGAACATACTCGAGGGTCGTCAGTGTTGTGTTCTGCGAAATCACTGCCGCCATCGCATTTGCACCACTATCGCCGATAGAATTGCGGGACAGGCTGCTCTCAAAAGGTAAGTACCACTATCGCTGTCCATCAAACGACATACTCAGCATGCAAGGTAGCAAGCGAACGAAAACGTACTAGAATGAAGTCAATCCCACGTTTTGCTTCAGTTCCTCCGCCAGCGCCTGAGCTCCTGCACTGCCAATCCAACATTCGTACAGGCTGCTCAAAGTGTCAGTATCATCAACGCAGTGCATCAAAAGGGTGGCAATAAGCAAGGGCAGAAATAGTCCTTTCGTACTTTAGAGTGGTCAGTGTCGTGTTCACCCTGAGTGCCTTGGAAATCGCTTCCGCTCCTGCATCTCCGAGCTGAGTGGAACTCAGACTAGAATCGTGTCGTGATTGAACAAACCCCCGACATGACCAAGCAGCGATTAGTTGACAACGCCAAGAACGACAACAATCAGCAAGCCAGCGCGATGGAAAGACAACATACTTGAGTATAGTGAGCTTGGTGTTCTGCATCAGCGCTTCTGCAATCGCTTGGGCTCCAATCGGGCCAACCTGACTGGAACGCAGACTGTTGTCACGGTGAGCGCTGATGTGCTCCCACCAAAACTGAATCTGATCGACCACGGACGCCCCCGACGCCACCGCGCTACCCCCAGAACATAGAACATCAGCGCGAAAGAAGCAAACAAACTTGAGCTCGGTCATCCAAGAGTTCTGCTTGAGTGATGTTGCAAGCACTTGCGCTCCAAAGTCGTCAAGGCCAAAGCGAATCCTAAACAGTGTCGTGAACAACAATCAATGTGAGTTGCAATGGAAGTCACAACACCAACGAGCACGAGAACCTACTCAAGCTTGCTTGGCTTGATCAAACTCAGAACCTCTTGAATCACTTGCACTCCAGCAGAGTCAACAATGTTCTCACGCATACTGTCCGCATAAACTGAGTTACTTATATCCATCGAAAGAAGCATCACATGCGTCGTCGTCATAGAAGGGGGAACGACAGGAGAAGGGAGAAGGAACATACAAAAGCCTGGAAACCCGCGACAGGGCTTTTTCGAGTCCAAATCCATGCGGATTACGCACCTGCGGCAGCAGACTGTGACCACACGGTGACAAGTTGCGTGAGCGACCACCTCTGGCCACTTCAGAGTGAATGTCAACTGCAAGACAACATACCGCTCTGTGGTCAATGGTTCTGACATTTCACGCTCGAATTCAGGGTCATAGCGGTTCATGTCGCGCAACCTGGAATCACGCCGTGAGTAATCGCATCAGAAAGAATCATTTTATGCGCACACGTGAGATTTTGACCGGCACGAGGGGGAGTATAACCTACTTGAACGTGGTCAGCGTAGTGTTGTGTTTGAGTGCGGCTGCGATTGTTTGCACTCCTGAGTCAACAAAGCGAGCCGTCACCCTGTGATGCCATCACGGTGAAGAAAACAAAAAACCAAACAAGAAAACGAACCATGAATCATCAATTAGCACTTGCTATCACTTTCGGAGCATCAAACGACACACAATGAAAGGTGACCGTACTCGAGGGTGGTGAGCTTGGCGTTTTGCTTCAGCACAGTGGCAATCGCGTGCGCTCCAGCTTTGCCAAGCACGCCGTTCCCTAGTCTAATCCCAGAAACAGTGTCAGTTTCAGTGAATCAAGCATCGAGGCATATCGGCGTGCGACTTGGTACATACTTGAGCGAGGTTAGAGTCGTGTTCTGAACAAGCGCGGGTGCAATTGCCTGCGTCTCAGCATCACCAATGGAATTGCCATCCAGCCTGCGCCCACATAACAAGTAAGGCACTGAAATGAGGCATGACAACATCAATCAGCACGAATGGTTGAACATACTCGAGAGTGGTCAGCGCAGTGTTCACTTTGAGCGCCTCGGCAATAGGTTTCACACCAGCAGTGCCAATGGCATTGTTATTCAGACTGCAACCACATGTTAAGTAAGAATACCAACAAGCAGGTCGTCCGCCTTCAGGTGTGACATCAATCAGCAAACAAAGAACGTACCGCAGCGTCGTCAGAGTCTTGCTCTGCTTCAGGGCCTCGGCAATCGCCTGCGCTCCAACAGCGCCGATAGGGTTGAAGGCAATCAAACCACGATCATTGGACGATAAACTGATTGAGCAATGCGGTGAGCAATAGAACGGGCAAGGAACAGCAATTGTGTATGAGTGACAGAAAGGTGTTCGAAACCCTTACTCGAGTGTCGTCAGCGCCGTGTTCTGCTTGAGAGCTTCGGCAATCTCGTGCACTTTAAAACGAAGTTGACTGCAACTCAGACTGTTGGCTGATCGTGAGTAAAAGCAGCAACAACCAGTTCCACAACAACAGGAGCATAGAACGTACTCGAGAGTGGTCAAACTGGTGTTCGACTTCAGCATTTCGGCAATGCTGTTGGCACCAACATCGTCAATCGGGTTCATTGAAAGACTGTGTTTTCGAGTGGTAAGACAATGAATCACTAGAATATAGCTTCGCTCTCTTCCAGACAAGAATAGCCAACAATATCGCTCCCAAACGTACTTGAGCGTGGTCAACGTGTTGTTCTGCGCGAGTGCTCCTCCGATCGCTTGGAGTCCAGCAGTGCCAATCCTGCAGTCATTGAGACTTGACACGTGACACGCAATACAAGCAAGGTTAATATTTGGCCTTTGCAGACAGAAATGGACCAATGTGCGGCAGAAAAACATACTGCAGAGTCGTAAGCGTCTTGTTCTGCCGAAGAGCATCCGCAATGGCCTGCGCGCCGGCATCACCAGATCGACTGTGATCCAGACTGTATCCGATTGTGAGAATTCCAAAGCACCATGATCATTAGCAGTGATAGCGTCGAACCGGCATGACAGATTGCGAACATACTCGAGTGTGGTCAGTGTGGTGTTGCTCTTGAGTGCTGTGGCAATCGCCTGCGCTCCGGCTAGTTCCATGGCGTTATACGCAAGTCTATTCCCAAAGCGGTGAGCCATACCATCGGATACCACAATACAGCACAGCATTCATCAACATGAACAGGGAAACTCGTACGAGAGTGTCGTGAGAGAAGTGTTTCGCGCGAGCGCTTCTGCAATTGCTTGGAATCCAACGCTGTTCAATCTATTGTCGCCCAGACTATAATCAACGTGTGAGCATGCGGTATTAGGCAGCCGTGATTGCCTCGATTTTCGTTCTCTTCATCTTTCTGCTTTTGGTTTGGGTAAGGGGATGAAGATAGAAGCTGTCACGTACTCAAGCTCAGTCAGCGTCGTGTTCACTTGGAGCATCCGTGGTATCGCCGCCTGCGCGCCAGAGCCGAGAGTGATATTGTTTTTCAAGCTGCGAGCATTACAGTCAGCGATATGACGAATGAACCATCGCTTGCAGTGGCAAAAACATGGATTCAGTCAAAGAGAGCCAAGGATCATACTTGAGGGAGGTCAACGTAGTGTTCTTCTCGAGCGCGTGGACAATGGCTTCAACTCCAGCATCTCCAATCGAACACCAGTACATGCTGTGGCAATTGATGTCAGCGATGGCATAACAACGCAGCAGTAGAACCCAAGGCCACAACATCCATCCGGCGGAACGTACGAAAGCGTGGTCAACGTCTTGTTGCACACCAGAGCATCAGCGATCGCACGTGCTCCAGCTTCGCCAATCTTGTTGTTATTCAAACTATTTGAACGAAGTGAGCAACACACATCACTGCGCTTCTCGCATGACCTCAAGCAATGATTCAGCATGAGAATGGCACTGACACAAGCGTAGTCAATGCCGAGTTGGTCTTGAGTGCCTCTCCAATCGCTTGCGCTCCAGCGCTGCCAATGTCGTTGCCGATCAAGCTGGAGACCATGACATGAGAATCAATATACGATTCAACTTATCAGCGAACAAGCAACTAGCAGAAGACGAAGAGAGTGGAATCCGTACCGGAGTGCAGTCAAAGTGGTGTTTGATTTCAGCGCTTCTCCAATCGCTTGAGCTCCAAAGTCTCCAATCTGAGGACCATACAACCTGACCCAACATACAGACATGGTTAGATTGATGTTCGCAATCAGACGCGGTAGTGGTCAGCATGAGAGGAAAGAAGCATACTCTAGGGTGGTCAGTGACGTGTTTTGCTTCAGGATGGCGGCAATCGGGTTTGATTCTGCCGAGCCGAATTTACCCGAGTGCAAACTGTTACCACACAACGAGCGACGCCATCGAAACAAACAGAAGCGTTTGCAATGGTAAACTCGAATGCAATCAACATGCGAAATTGGTGCGTACTAGAGCGTGGTCAACGTGGCGTTCTGCGTCAGTGCCTTTGCCATCGATCGCGCTCCATTGGCATCGAGGTAACCTCTGTCGTTACATGGTGAGCCAATTACCTCGCACAAAGCAACACGGGCAAATGGTGCAAAAACAACTTACGAGAGTTCAGTCAGTGTGGTGTTTTGCGTCAGTGCATCAGCAATCACTGCGTCAATGTAATTTCTAGTCCTGTTATCATAAAGCAAAGCAGTGAGCGAGTGAGCTTTGTACAGCTGCCATGACCATGGCATCGGCAAATGGATCCAGCTTTGCATACCGGAGTGTCGTCAGCGTTTTGTTCTGCACTAACGCTGCCGCAATCGGCTGCATTCTAGCATTCTTGAAGTCAATCACACACTCACCCAAGCTGATACCATACGGTGAGTCAAGGCATCAAACAAACATGGAGTTAGCAGAAGCCGACAAGTACATACTCGAGCGTAGTCAGTGTGGTGTTTTGCAGGAGTGCTTCACCGATCGCTTCCTCCCTGCTGAGCTTCTTGCTGTCCTGGTTGTCGTCGCCGTCGCCAGCAGTGTCGTCGTCGCAGTCCTCGTAATCGCCGTCGTCAGCATCGTCAGCATCCGTTTGACGAGCCTTCTTCTTGTTCTTCTTGGATGTTGAGGTGTTCTCCCCGGCCATTTCAGCAGCCCGACGCTTGCTGCGGATGGTCGTGGGAACGCCATTACTGGAAGTTGAACTCGTCTTGCTAGTACGCGCAACTGCAACCTGAATGGGTTTGCGAGCACGAAGATGGTAGCTCACAGTCTGAGATCCTTGGTTTGTTGGTGCAGTGGCCTTTTTCTGAGCGGTCTGGCGCTATTTGAAAAATCAAACAGTAGGAATCACAAACGAAGCAAACAAGATGTCAGTGACGAGTTAGTGGACTGGCATTACGCCTCACAACTCTTGGACAGGAGCGGCACCTTGCTCAGCGGCTCTGAGATTGAAGTGGCAGGGACAGGTGCGGCTGCCTTGCTGGTCCTGCCTCGCGGAGCAGCAATAGTAGTAGTAGCCACTTGTACAGCTGGTGTAGCAGCAGCAGCAGCATTGGCAGCAACACGTGCAGCAGCTCGCTTGGGTTTGGGTGGATCGACCTCCATTGGCGCGACCACACGATCGTCTTCCACTGCGTCGGTGCTACTGAGGCTGCCACCAGTCTTTGGCCTGGTGGCTCTTGTAGCGCGCACGGGAGTAGGAGTGGGAGCAGAAGCAGCCGAGGGTACCGCCTGCTTAACCATTTGGAAAAAAAAAAAACCAACAAAAAAAAAAAAAAAAAACGGTGGAGAAAAAAAATTCAAACTTCAAAACCGACTGAATGTCACGACAAATCCATTTAATGTGAAGAATGCCTAACGTTTCGATCTCACGCCTGTCCTCTGGACGCCATTGCCCTATTCTCACAAATTTCATGTAGCGGACCTCATTTGAGTAACTTGCCACAGCGGCGGGGCTGGCAGAGCCTTCCTGAGCCGACTTCGATTTGGCTGGCGCAGCATTACGAAAAGTCAAAATAAGGAATCTCGTCCGTTCGAGGGCGATTTCCGCGTCGCGCTCTCCCCGACATCCAATGGCAAATAGTGCTTCAAAAAGAAGCGGTGAAAGAAGACCGACACGGTCGAGGGGGAGCGCTCCGACGAAACTGCCGGAGTTAGGCACCCAAAAAATGGCCTGTTGTTCGACCGAACCGAGGCACCTTCACTCTACAATACAAAATCTTAGTAAATTTGATCGAGATCAAACAAATACAGCGGATCTCTAGCGCGCCGCGGACTGCAGGCTCAACAGGCAGATGATTTCGAGCAGGTGCCCTGAATTCCAGGACTGGGCTGTATCGCCCTCTGACCCTGCCAAGCACCATAGAGTGTATTTATGTGCGAAAAACAGCATCTGGTGTCAGTCTGTTGAGATGGAAGCCTTGGGTGAGTCATTTGAGGGAGAAACTCCACAATATTTGATGTGAGTCGTTTCAGCGCCAGCCGCTCGATAGCATCATGTCTGCCACAGATTCATCCAACAAGAATGAGGAATTCGCATCGAACAAGGTCTTCCGCAGATTCCGAGCGACTTTGTTCACATGGTGATCTCCGCACCGTTCGTGAAAAGCACAACCAGCGTTTTTCCTGAAATTCCTCCGCCAGGGCTATTGCAGCTATCAAGCATAACAACGTCTATCTACTCTCGAATAAGGAAGCAGCAACAGTACAAAGCTAGATCTAATAGCAACGAAAGTCTGTGGCACCTTTGATATCACGGAAATTTCCAGGTTACACTAAAATGCGTTGCGCAAACCGAAAGGCTCAAATTTCGAGGTTACAAGTCGTCGCGTTGTGAGGTCGCTTTATTGAGATGAAGGGCAAAACAGGTGCACAAAAAACTGGAGAACGCAGCCCGACGAGCAAGTTGCCCAATTGCCAGAGAGCCTGGCCTACACGGACTACGGCTTACACTCGTCGGTGCTGGTATCCCATTTGCAAGTACAGCTCGCACGTTGTAGTGATCCGAAATATTTGCTCAATAGCAGTGGGTCCGTTGGCTGTGTGTGACCCTCACACATGATTCTCGCAATGTCATCAATCTCCTGCTGAGTAGCGCCCGTCAAGGAAATCGGTTGGATGTTCTTGCAGTCAACACATGTGCATTTGTTACTGATGCATTCCATCGGAATCTTGCACTCGCTATCAAGAGTGCAACGATCTCCAGGATCTCGATTTCCCAAGAGTTGGGTTTCTCGACGATGCGAATCAGGATTGAAGGTGACAGATTGTCCATTGTTGTTTTTCTTGGCTGGGGCGAACGCAGCTATCAGGTCGTTCTTGTAATTTGCTTGACCGCAATTAACTGCGAACATCTGGCCTCTCCCTAGCAACGCCTCGAGTTCTCCCAAACTCATGAACTCGACTGCCGAGCGCTGATCCGGATCGGAACGGTCGAGTTGGCGTTCATCACTGTTGAATTGAGCATATGCGGCGCCACTTCCAACCCCTGGAATGCACATGGCAGTAAAAAAAGGGCCGGTCGGAACAGGTTGTCCATAATTTAACGTTTGCTGGGAGGGTGTGCCAAGCGCGCCAGTCAGAAAAAAGACTTGGGAGCCGCTGCCCTTGGCGAGAACAACCTCGACGAAAGCCGTTTCTGCGGGACCCCAGTATAGTTGATTGAACCTTGCGGCCATGGGGACAACGTTGATGTACGCAAAAGTGGAAAACGCAGCCGCGTATGACATGTTTTGGGGAGTATACTGCGTGGGGTCCACAATTGAAGCGATATGGCTTGGGAACAGATGGCCTTTGTTCCAAGAGGTACCAACCCCTTCGTAGTGGCTCAATTCTAAGCTCAGTAAAGCACCACAAGCTTTCGTCGACGGCTTTCTTTTCACTATTCCTACCGCAGATCCTACCGTACAGAGCTCTGTTGACAACAAATGTGAGAATCGTGAGACCAGGACACTCGAACGACTTTACGCTTTGAAACTTACCCAAATTATACTTAAATCCGGTGGCAGGACGCGAGTGGACTGAATACGACTGCGGAATTGTAACAGAATATGCAACAACTCGCGGGATTCTTGCTTTCGGATCAGAATCAAAATACGAGAGGTAGAAGAACCGTGGCGTGGCAGTTGATTGTGCCGTGAAAGTGGCAACCAGAGCCGTTTTTTTGTTTTGTTCTGCGCGGATCTCGTACTTGCCGGGTGCGAACGTGTTACCTTTGATGCACCGGCTGTCGTACATCGAGTCGAGCTCTCCATTCCAACTGTGTACATGGATGAGCATCCAGCGCACTACGCTGAGGTGTTTGATATTGTCCTGTACAATTCTGCCGACCTGCCGCTTCGTTCGACTCGCGTCTTTGGCCAACGCACACACATCTGGGCGAATGTGGATGCCACCCAGGCCGCGTACCTGGAGATTCAGGGCGTCTCTGATCGTGCTGTGCAGCTCGCACTTGATCGCGTCCGTGTCATTGGCGGCTTTGAGCGCGATTGTCTCCCTCTTGTGTCGTTTGATCTGGCATATCTTGCCAACGACATTCGCTTGGCTGGCGAGGTGGTCCACGTCTCGAATGCATCACTGGGCGCTTCCGTTTTGGCCTCCAGTCCACAGAATTACCTGGTGTACTCGGTGCTTTCTGACTGGCACCCAGCTAGTACGAGCTCACTGCCGCAGCTCAATTCAGCCGCCATCGCACAGCTCGACATCACCAACAGCGACAACCAGCAGCGGGTTGTCACGGATGCATCCTTTGAGTCGGCACTCGATGATTTGGTGGCTTCGTGGCTGAATGGTGATCTTGCCAACAACGGACTCGCTCTCCGCCTCGACCTGGACCAAGTCGGTAAAGCGAGTTTCGACCGTGACGAGTTTACTCTGTCGTTCAACCTGCGACGCTTCCTTTGGCGTAACACTTCGTTGAGCGACTGTTCTGCGCGATGCGGCGCAGGTGTTCAACATGCAATTATTCAATGCTATGAGCGCACCCACAGCGACAACGGACAGCCTCAATACATTGTCGTGGACGATTCGTTCTGTCGGTCCAGCACTCGCCCGCCCGCAACAGTTGCATGCGATGCTTTCGATTGTGACTACGAGTATCGACAGCTCTGTGGCGATTGTCTTTGCACTGAAACCTCGTGCCAGTTTTCCGAGGCGCGGCAATCGACGCTTCAATGCTTGCACAACACTGGCAGTAGCGGCTCGGAAGTTCCAGTTTCGGCGTCTCTCTGTGAGATGCACGGTCTCCAGAAGCCAAACTCCACAACCTGCCCGAGCTGCAACTGCACTTCTGGATGTGAGCTCAAGTGGGAAGTGTCGACGTGGTCATCCTGTGAACCTGCGTGCGGCGCTGGCACTCGCACTCGTAACATCACCTGTACTCGCCGCGATCCATCCCATCCGCCGCATTTCTGGCCCACTGCAACTCCATCCGAATGTGCACGTCTTTCTGATCCTCCGAGTGCCCTCGAGTCGTGCTACTCGCGTGATGGCTGCTCGAACGGCGATGTCAACACAGGCCTCGATCCATCTGCTGCCGTTTGGCCAATTCTCGCCGAGACCCGCATCCTCGAACTCAACAGCACAATCTCGCGTGTTGAATCCTTGATCCAACTAGGCGAGCCGCACCTCTCCGCCGAGTTGCTTGTTGCGCAGATTGCTCGCGACACGCTGTCAGCGCGTTTCGAGAGCCAAGTTGTCGACTCACGCACAAGCATGGACTTGGCCAAGCTGTCCGTCGAACTCGAGGTGGTCGATCTGCAAAACGAGCTGTCTGCGTCCCACACTCGCCAAGAGTCCGATCTGCCGACCAAAACGGTTGCTCTCGAGCAGCTGGAGCTGGACGCTCGTATGGCATCTGCACGAGCGACAATCAACATGCCTGGGAGTGGCGTGACGTCGTACAAGAACATTGGCATGCTCGGATTCGGATACCACATCTTCAAGGGCAACCCTCTTCCGTCGTCCGGTGTCGATCCCGGGTTCACCTTGCCTGTCCTCAAGGTGGATTACTCGATGCGTCGCATGACCGCTGATGGCAGCACGATGCTTCCTGACCGCGTCGCCGTCATTCCGTACGCTTCCGCGCAGTTTGACAGTCGTTCCCACCTCGTAACGACCTCGTCCGAGTACGCAGAAAGCTTGGAAGTGGACGTGTCCATCGAAACCTCCTTCTCGTTCAGTGCTCTCGTTGAAGGTGGAGGTGCCAAGTTTTCGGCGTCGAACGACTACAAGCAGGCCTCAGAGATGCATCAGTCGTCCGAATCTGTTTCAATCACCACCATTGGCACCGTCTTGACATATGTGGCAGAGTTCCTGGATGACACGCCTCCGCTCGCCGACCATGTCATTGAAATGTTCAACGCGCTCCCGCCGCCCGCGTGCTGTGATGGTCTTGTGCTTCCCTCGCACGCTGGAGTGAGCAAGGATCGTTCGGCGTGCACCGCAATCCATGCAAACTGTGGCGACCTTTACCTTCGGTTTTTGGACAAGGTGGGGACCCACACCCTCATCGGCGTCCACATGGGCGGGAAGTCCATTCGAGTGTACACCATGGCACAAACCGAGTTTGAGTCGAGCGTGGAACAGTCGGATGCCTTCAAGTCATCATTGTCGCTTTCGTCTTCTGGAATCGAGTCGAGCTCCATCGACACGTCCTTGAGCATCAGCAAGCAAAGCTCCCTTAAGCAAGCCGTCAAGGATCGCACCGAGTCCCGCCGCGAGACGTTCATGGGTGGTGACCCAACCGCAGGCACAAATGATCCGGAAGACCCCACAAACATGGACGGTGACAAAGAGTGGAGCACGACGGTGTCGAAGAATCCAGTTCCGATCAAGTACAAGTTGGTGCCCGTGCTGCAGGTGCTGGCTGTCGCGCGTTTGTCCAATGGCACCAACCAGGAGCTTGTCGGCTTGAAGCTCGACCTTTTAACCCGTTTCTACCTGCAAGTGTGCGCAAGCACACCTGGTGCTGACTGCGAAGTCCCGGCCAAGGCAGACGAGGTGGGAGTGCACTTTGGCGACTATGTTACCCTCTCTCAAGTCATCTCGGCAAGCAATCACATGGTCATGGCAGAGGACCCCAAGCAAGGCAGGCTGATTGCTCGTCAGGTGCCAGCGTCGAACGAGAACGTGGCAGACACGCACATGGACATTGTCAACCTTCCTGATGGCGTTGTCTGCTCGTCGTGTGGTGATTCAAGCCGCTACTTTAATGGAGAAGCTTGTACAATGTGCAAGAATCCACACACGACTTGTGCACCAGTCCAGCACGAGTCGTGGTCCGAGGTCATCCAATCTGCAAACCGTGCGAGCGACAACGGACCGGCTGGCATCTATCAGGTCAAGGGCGTCTCTTTCGACCAGTGTAAGCAAGCGTGCATGGAGCGTCCCTCATGCAAAGCCGGCGTCTACTTGACCAATGCAGCCCATGTGGACCGCGCGGTCGAATGTAACCTGTTCGGCGATCACCCTGAGAACGCGTTTGTTCGGCGCGGTGGTGACCATGACGACAACTGGTACATCTTCCAGCGCTGGGGTTGCTACAGCGCACAGCATCCAGACTTTTTCACTGGCTGGAGGGCGTACGGCGCCAGCTCCTTCCGAAAGCAGCCGGTCGTCGACGTGGGCCTCGAGCGATTGCGCATCATTTCTCCGTCGAGCGTTACGACAGGCATCTCTTCGCCAGTTACGTATGGCCGTCTCTTCATGCTCGCCACGTCGTCGGGACTGGTGGTGCGGTCGTTGCAGCGCGACTGGTTTGACATTAAAGCAACGAACGAGCAGTTGAGCACACTGCCGCTTCGTTTCCGCTTTGTCAGTCGCACTGCGGCAACCGGCACTGTTGTCCACTATGGAGACAATGTTGCAATTGAAGAGGTCATTGTCACTGGCCAACTGAGTCCGTCCGACCAAGCAGCCTTGCTGCAACGAACGCGTTTCCAGCGGATGGAGCCGCACTATCTCACCATCAACAGCGGCAATGGGTTGGTTCCCATCAGCCAGAATATGACTGTGCGCTCTCGTATGCTGACAGAGATTGGCGATCTGGAATGGACTGTTCACCTGTCTCGCAATCCGACCAGCACGAGCCTCTCGTCCGTCACTCCGCTGTTGTCGTACAGCCGGCAAGGAGACGATGTGCTGAGCCGCACGTTGCTGTTTTCTGCGACAGTTGACCTGCTCGAGAGTGCCGGCATTGACGACTTGAACACGTTGCAGGCTCGCTTGACGTTTAACGATCCCGTCACTCGCGACTCGCCAATCGCCCAATACCCAGGCCGCGACCGCCTCTCCACGATCACCGATGACGCCTTCCTGACCCGGCTCGATTTTGTCGTGCAGCTTCTGCGTCCGACCACTGCCGGGCTTGCCTTACATCTGGCTTCCAGCTCGGACGCAATCCTGACGTCCGGAAATGCAGGCATTGCGCGAGAGGTGAAGATTTCCTCGGTGCGTATTTCAACCCGCGGTCGTTCCAGTACTGCCTACCAGTTTGTTATCAAGCTCGCCGAGCCAGCCCATGATGGCGACGTGCTGAGCGTTTCTCTCAGTTCTCCAGAGCTGGTCAAGTCCACCAGCCAGGGTGTGTCTGTGGCTCCCGCTGACAACCAAGCCCTGTCCGAGCTTGTGCTTCCAGTTCGCTTCCAGCTGAGCAACAACTCGAGCATTGTGTTCCATTCCACTTCAAGCAACGGTGCCGAGACGACCGTGCCACTGACGTTTTCGACGGGTGTTGTGAATGCCGAGCGTGACTTCCCCTCGGTCTCTGACTTTGTCGTGACGGACAGTTCTTCGCCGGCGCGTCTTTTGACGATTGTTTCGGCGCAGTGCCAGGTTATGAATGGGACTGGAAACGCGCTGGTGTTGGACTCTGTTCGGCACGAGGCAGACGTTCGATCGGGATGCGTGCATGTCCTTGTCGGAGTTGCGACCAGCGATCGCATGCACCTCACCTTGCCCTTGTACATTGACGTCGTTCAGGCGCGTATCCGTGCGGCCCAACGTGTCGAATATGCCGAGCGGCGCCGTGTGGCGTTTTATGATGAATGATGCTGGCGAGTTGTTTTTTTACATGGCTGATTGCCGGATTATTGTTTCGAAGAGGTCATGGTCGAGCTAGCTCTAGTGTGCTTGACCCTGCTTTCTTTCTGGTTTTTTTTTTGTTTGTTTGGTTGTTTGTGTGGTTGTTTGTTTGATTTTGTGCTTGACCCTTGCTTTCTTTGTTGTTGGTTGTGAATTTCTTTTGTTTGTTTGTTTGTCTGTCGTTTTGTGTTGCTGTCCTCTTGACTGTCAAGCACCTGACTCTATACAATTATCTTGCGCGAGACTTGAGCTTTTCTGTGGGATTTTAAGACACCGTGGTTTGCATTTTCAGCTGGAAGACACCCACCAATCAGTGAGGCAACTTGGAGATCTCATCCATCCATTTCAGATTTATGATAAAAACCTTGGAACGCGCGCGCGACCGGGCTTGTGCGGACAAGCGAGCGAGCTCTACAACACCAACACAGTTCACTTTGATTTTGATGGTTTTTTTTTTCTTCTATTTTCAAGTTCCGCCTGCAGTGACGCCATCTCAGCAAAAGAGTTCAAATCGCAATGCATGATTTCTAGGTTGTTCTTTGAAAAGTAGATTGTTGCCACTGGATCGGTTCGTTCGTTGTTCAATTTGAATCCGCTTTTTTTCCTAAAGATTTCGCGTCTCTTCCGATTCGCAGTAAAACTTCAACGACAGCGAGCAACATGACAGCATGGCAACAACAACAAGCGAAATAGTCGAATAACAACGATACAACAAAATAAGTCGTCAAGTTCGAAACGCAGTCATTTTTACAGTTTAGAACAAAGCTTTTTATTATTACGATTCAATCATGGTTGACCAAAAGACAGAGCGCATGAAGAAGACAGTCGATGCTTTGAGCGCAGAGCTCAAGTTCAACCGCATCAAGGTGTCCGAGGCTGCCAAGCTGTGAGTGCCCAGGCTCTTGTCCCATTGCCTCGACTATCTTCTCTCTCTTCGCCTTCGCCTTCGCCTTTCTCATTGCCGAATGAATGCAAGGAAGGCCAAGAAAAAAAAAAAAAAAAAAAAGGACGGAAATAGCTCAACGCTTTTTTTTTTTTTTTTGAGCTCCTTCTCTTTTCGCTCTGGCTGTGAGAGACGCTGTTTGATCTGCGCTCGCGTAGTGCTTGTCAACAGCCCGACGCACGTCGACAGGCGCAGTCTCAGCGGGGTCGCACGTCGCCCCAAGCAAGAAATCAGTCGCCAAAAAAAAAAAGGAAAAAAAAAAAAAGAGGCAGCGGAATAAACATACAAAAAATACAATAGTTTTTTTTTTTTTTTTTTTGTTTTCGAATGTTCGTTCGTTTCCCTCGCTTTTTTTTGTTCGCCCGTCCTCCTGCCTTTGAATCCAGCATCCAGCGTCAGCCGCACACGCGGTCGGATTCCATTCGCTCGCCAGTCGTCCGCTGGCTTTTGCAGCGGAGCGGCGACAACAAAAGGCACAACGATGGAACGTTTTTTTTTTTTTTTTTTTTTTCAGTGTTGTGGAAGTGTTTTTTTTTTCTCTCTCTTCTCTCTCTCTTGCTCTCTCTCTCTCTCTCTCTCGCTTTTGTCGCGGGTTTTCGCTGCCCTTTTCTCCCCTTCTCTCTGTGGTTGGTGTGAACGCACCGTGACTGTCTCACAACAAGCAGCGGGACAGCGGGACAGTGGAACTTGACTTGTTTCGTCAGTGTTTTAAACTATTTTTATTTTTATTTTATTATTGTTATTTTTGAAAAAACAATCATCACAAAAAAAAAAAAAAAAAAAAAATATCGTTTTGATGTTGTTGTTTGATTCTCATTTTTTTTTTTTTTTTTTTTTTGTTTCCACTTCACAGGCTCAAGGATTATTGCAAGGACACGAAGGATCCCTTGATCCCGTCCATCTGGGGCCGCCTCGACGATAAGGAAAACCCCTACGCCAAGGACAAAGGCAAGGGCTGCCTGGTTCTCTAAACGGACAACGCCAGACAACATCAAGCAAGAAACGAATGCAAAGCCCCACACCTTTTGAACGTTCAACGCTGAATCTCGATTACCGCTCGAGTCCTTTGTTGAGCTCTGAGGCGTCGAGCTCTTCGTTTGTTCGTTTTGTTTCGTGTTTTCTCCGTCAGAATCCCTGCTTAGTTTCCCTCGACTAATAACTTTTCCCCTCTCACCTCTCTCCGCACCTTGCCCCCTCCCCCCACCCCTTGTCATTATGTCCTTGCTTTAACCGATATCACCCCCCCTCCCCTATCGGCGTAAAGCTTGTGACAACCCTCGTCTGCTTTGTCGTTGCTTGTTTTGTGTTTCAGTGTTTTCCATTTTGTGTGTATTGTGTCCTTAATACGATTTTTTTTTCCCCCCAGAACCTTCTTGTGTACTCCAGTCTGAGATCCTTGTGCCATCCAGACTGCGGAAGGCCTTTCTTTCAACATGGAACAAGAACAGCAAGAAAATCCATGTAATTGTTGGAACAATTGAATGTTGATCGCGTCTTGACCAATCTCTTCACTTGGTGACACGCTTGCTCATCGGGAGTGGCACTGGTGTGGGCCCAGCAGACGCGGTGGAAGCGACCGTGCAATCCAACGTCAACCCATCGTCCGAGGGTGTCAAACCTGCGCCGCGCACAAACGCGTCACAATCCTCGGCAGTCTCAAACGCGAGCTCCGTTTGCAAGAACGCCATGGTCAATGACGGTCGGTACCTGTATCCCCAGTACATTGCAGTCAACCTCACAGTGAGCCGAGTGTGCACACACCCCAACACTTTAGCACCAAAAAAGCCAAACCAAGCCCGCTTACGCCTTGACCATCACCGCAAGGGCCTTGGCCCGCTCCCGATCAACAAACCAGTCCATGAGATAGCCGCTCATGAACGGTGCCGACAGGTAGAGCTTGAAAAAGCGCCGATAATTTCCGAGCGCCACGGCGTGTCTGACCGCCAACGCATGAGCCACTGCCTGGCTCTCGCGCACGGCAGGCGTAAGAGCCGCAAGCGCATTTGTTACATCTGCAAGACAACCAAGCAATGATCAGGACGGAATGCTCGCCAGCAACTGCACAATTGCCAAAAACACAAACAACAACAAAAAAGCAACAAAAAAGCAAGACAACAAACAGTCAAAAAAACTACAACATACCCAAGCTGTTATTGATGAAAATGGCATAGAGAACGCGGTAGCCCGTAAACTCAAACACGCTGCCGAGAATGCCGTCCTTGTACAGCTCCTTGAGCTGGGCTTGGCATTGGTTGAACTCGCCCACGTCGCCCTTTTCCAGTGCGATACGCGCGTGTGTCTCGTAGACTTTCACCGTGAACGAATTTTTGATATTTTGGACCTGTCCGAATGCACAAAAAGTCAGTCAAAGCGAAAACGAGACAAACAAATGAAGATTGATGGAGGCAACACTCCAACGGAAAAAGAAAAAACCCACCAAAAAACCCTCCACCACCTTACCGTCAGATCCTGTCGAATCGACTTTAATTGCTCCCAAGCGTACTTGTAGTCGTTGTCGGCCTTCCATGCGTTCTTGACCATATCGAGAGACTGGGACAGCACAGATTCTGGCCGCACCGTGGATGGATCTGGCGCGGAGGTCAAGCGAAGATAGCGCTTCTCAAGCTCGCCGCTCGTGCCTCGAATTGCCCAGCTGGTCCAGTCCAGTTCGTCTCCATCCAGGTCTTCGCCATCCGCGTTGACACTAATGGCGATGCGAGCCTTTTTACTTGCCAGCTGCTTGCGCTGGTGCTCTGCAAATTCTTGCTGGAAGCGCGCGGCACGAGAACTCTTTTTCATCTCCGCCTCAGGATCCAATCTGGGGCCCCCAAAGCCAGCTGCCTTCATGGCCGCAGATGCCTGCTCGCGCTTTGCCTTTTCTTTCGCCTGGCGCTTCTCCTCTTTGGTGAGTGGACGTCCTGGTCGCTCAACAGAGCTCGAGCGACTCGAGTCTCGCGACGATGGGGATGGCGAGCGCTTGCGGCGTCCAACAGGCACAAACCCGAGCGTACTCACCGCACCGCTCGCGTTCGTGCTCACTAGCGGGGTTGAGGAGGCGCCCTCGGCTCCCGAAGCACCCACAAATCCACTATACCGTTGTTGCTGCGAGTGATGCTGCCATTGGCCTTGCACGCCGTTGTTGTTGCTTGCCGATCTTGGCTGTGAAGATTGCTGCTGCACTTGCTGCTGCCGTTGCTGTTGCATTTGACGCAGGTTTTCGAGGTGCTGTTGATATTGCTGCGCAGCCTGTCCCGTTTGCTGCTGCTGCTGCTGCTGCTGTGGGTCTGCCAGAGCGGTTAATGGAGGAGGTTGTTGCGGCTGTGCTGGGTGTTGCTGCTGCTGCTGCTGCTGCTGTGACAGAATATACGGCTGCTGCTGTCCTTGGTACGAAGAGTACTGAGACGAGGACGGCTGCTGCGGTGTCAAAGGTGGTGGGTAGCCATGCGGCCTTGGCGGCTGCTGCTGCTGTTGATGTGGCGGAAAGTAGTGCACATCATGGGGTCGCTGTGGCTGCAGGGGAGGAGGTGGATAGGAGGGTTGCGAGGGTCGCGGATAGGACGGGGTCGCAGCTGATTGGTAGTGCTGCATCTGCTGGTGATGGTGCTGTTGCACCTGCACGGTTGTGGCGGCTTGCATGTTAAACGGAGCAACAAACGGTGGGGCAGTCCCTTGCGATGACGAGGCAGCAAGGGACGACAAAGTCATAGGTTGCTGCCCAGACTGTGCAGCGGGACCTGCTTGGTCCCACCGCCGCTTCACCTTGTTCTGAGCCTCCTGTGCCCGCTGAGCAGCTGCCGGCAGCAGCTCTGTTGCCCACGGGTGTGTATGAAACGCATTGCGGGCTTGAACCTTTCGGATGATGACGCCAAGCTCGGCTTCGATCTGATCTCGCGTGGCCGGGTCTGTTGCTCCGTGATAGGATCGCTCTATGTAGGAAACCATGGCAGGCGGGTAATTGCCTGGTGGCAGCCCAGTCGGGCCTTTCCCCTGCTGCTGCTGGCCGGGCATTGGCGGCTGATGCGAGTTCTTGTGCTGCTGCTGCTGCTGCTGCGGCAGCGGCGGCGGCGGCGGATAACTCGAATACGAGCTTGGGCCACTGTACTGTGTAGTGGCGCTATGCGATGGTAGCTGTGTCTGAGCCGGGGCATGGCTGGTGTGTGAGATGGTCGGCGCGACTCCCTGATAGATGGTTGGCGGGGTCGCTTCGGTCTTTGTCAGCGCCGGAGCCAGTTGCGCAGATGTGACTGGCTTCTTGCCCGAGTAGTAGAACGATGTGCCAGAGGGTGCAGCGACGGCGGCCTTTCCAGCCTGCTGCTGCGGCTTCTGCTTCCCGCTACTGTTGGTCGACCCGGAGCCAGCCGATGACGCCGCAGCCGGCTGCTGCGCTCCGTCCTTGGATCCAGTGACTGCAGATGCATACGAAGGCACCGATGCAGCCTGCTGCGTGCCGTTGGACACTGGCTGCGCGCCTGGGCCGCCCGTCCACGACATTGGAAGCCTTATCGATTCGTTGAAAGTTCTACGAGCCAGGACGCGAGGGCGTTCAGAGTGAGCAGAGTGAAGGATCGCCAACTGAGGGGAGATGGATGCAAAGTGCAGTAGCGGAGGCAGACTTGGAAAATGCGAGCGAGCGCGCCAAACGGTGACAAGAGGGATTCAAAAGCACACAAGTCGTCGATTGTGATTGAGCGGTCGAGCCGTCGAGGCTGATCATCAGCAAACTCACCAGTCGCAAGATCAAGAGCCAGCCAGTCAACGAGAAAGAGGCGAGGGAGGTAGGGGGTGGGGCGGTGGGAAGGGGGGATGAAGAGGGAGAACGCCAAAGTCCACCCCAATACTGGCTTTTAGACGACTGGTTTGAGAGACCACCTCACCCACCAGCACAAGACTGGAAAACTCAGAGAATAAAAAGTGTAATACGATGAACAAAAGTTTTGGGCAAAAGAGTTGGAAAAAAAAATAACAAACAAAACAAAAACAAGACACCAAGGAAAGACAAGAGAAAAAACAACAATCTTCGCAGATCGAACAAGTTACTCCAGGAAAATGTTGTTGAACAAGGTCATGCACAGCCGCCGGACCTCGTCTGATATCAACCAAAGAGACAAAGCAATGAAGCACAGAGAGACAAAGTGAGATGAGCGGAGCGCTACAGCAACGAGCCACGAAAACAAGCCAATCCCCTCTCCATACCATTGATCTCAATGAGATTGGCATTCTTCTGCTGAAGCATGACAAAGATTTCACGTTGTTCGGATTTGCGACCAACAACCCAGCAGTCGCTGAGCATTTTGACCACAAGCTCGTGCGTCAGTGGAGATCTGCAGCAGGGAATGAAAACCCCATCAAGATGAGCGCAACAAACACCCGAAACTTTCCCCCCGCCTCCAACACCAAACACAACAGCTGACTGACTTTTCGAAATGGGATCGCATGTCGCTCAGAATCCGCAACACATCTGGCGGCACGGTAAGCTGCCGCTTGTTGTGCATGGTCGATTTGAGCGCCAGGTTCATGTGGTTGTAGTAAATGTAGCGGTAGTGGCTCTCGCTACCAGGAAGCATACATCACCCCACAGGATGAGCAACCAACTCGAGCAAAACGATACAAACACTTTGACAAGTGCTGACAAACAATCCCTTACACTGCGCTCCGCTTGGCCAAGTGTTCGGAAATCGTCTCAGACAGCCCCCGCACTTGCGGTGCAATGTAGCTGTCCAGGTCGCGGTAGAATTTAATGTCAAAGTGGACCGATGCGTCCACGAGGAAGCAGACAATGGCGTTATTAGACTGATAAATGATAAGGTGAAGCGACTCGCCGTCCTGGGCCGATTCGACAAATAATTGGGGCGCATTGACGGGGGTGTCGGGATCGGACAAGTCCTCAGGACCAGTGATGTATCCCACACGGTTTGACAGCAGGAAGGGTTGCATTTCGCGCAACGCTGCTTGCTGTTGTTGCTGGAAAAGACTAATGTTTGTTCCGCTGCCGCTGCCGCCTGTCGCGGATGCCTTTCCACCCTTTGTCGTTCGACTTCCAGGCTGTGTGTTGGAGACAAACCTTTTAGTCAAGCGCGAGGCAACAATTGGGGTGGAGCGGTCTTTTCCGAAACGAGCAACGACAAAATCTCACCTCAGAGCTGCCCGTGAGCGTGGCCGACAAGAACCCACTCGTCAGCAGTCGATACAGCGTGCGCATATCGTCTTGCTCGAGGCCCGACCATATTAGGTGCTCGTTGTGCAGGAAGACGGTATGCTTGATTTGGGGAAAGGTGGTTTCGGTCAGGTTGACAAAGCATTGCACTCGAAGATAAGTGTTCTTGTCCAGCGGCATGAACTGGATGCCTGATGGTGGTGGAATTCAACGGAATGAGATCATGGGTATCAAACAATGCAGCGTCGATTCGCAGTCGAAAACACACGCACACACACACACACACACAAAAAAAAAAAAAAAAACTAAAAAAAAAAAACTGTACCGTTGCAGGCAGTCAGCAAATCAAAGTGCTCTGTTCGAAGAGACGTCAAATAGCGGGGAAAGAACTCTTGCAGCTTGTGCCTCAAGATCTTGAGACTGAATTGCGAGTAAATGTCCGTGAATCGGCCATTGAAGAGCTGTGCGATGGTTTTCCGGAGGGGTTCGAAGGAAAATGAGTCTCCTCGCTTTTTTTTTTGCTGCAACCCAAGCACACGCAATCAAATCAAGAAAAGCGCCTCACCTTGAACATGGCATAACTCTGATGCAATGCAGTGAGCAGAATGTTGTCCTGGACATCCTCTTCTGCAAATTCTTCCACTTGGCGACCGTCCTTGCCTGTCTTCAACGTGACTGGCACCGTGACCGTCTGCAAACAAAACGATCGCACATGTGAGATGCATTGCTGTGTGCCAACTCGGCGTTTGCGCGCGCACGTTACCATGACCATCCAGTATTCCGGCTCTGGCTCAAAGAAGACCTGCCTGGACCTCATGCTATGCATGCTTTCGCACGGCCTGTCCACCGAGAATGTTCTGCAGCGCCAACACCGCCCCCCCCAAAAAAAAAACCACACAAATGTTCCAAGTCGATGTGAGTGGAGCGAGTGGAGTGAGTGAGTGAGTGAGTGAATTGGTCAGCTGGTCTGGTTGGGTCTGGTTGTACCCCAATCGCTCCCCAATCACTGCCAGTATCCACGGCACTCACGCGGCAAACTTGACAAGGGCTTCACAGAGACCGACTTGCTTGATCTTGGTGTCGAGCGGGACGTCGCTCGGGTGGTAGAAGACAATCTTCTCGTGCTCGGTCTCTTCTGTCGGACCGAAGATCGCGTTATAAACGAAGAGGTTTTCAATGTACATGCCCGGTGACGCGACGGCGAGGACGGACGACCCGCCCAGCAGCGACGCGGCAAGCGACGACGCGGGCGACGCTGTCCCAGACGCAGCTGCGGCAGCGGCAGAGGCGGCAGCGGCAGCAGCAGAAGCGGCGGCGGCAGCAGCAGCAGCAGCGGCATTTGACTGCGGAGCAGGCGATCCAGCGTTACTTCGCCGCGGCGTGGTGGCGTCCATTTGGTGGTGGGGAGGTGCTGCTCGCTAGACTGACTGAATTGAGGAGCGCGGAGGTGCGAAGGAGGGGGGGGGAGGAAGGGAATGGGGCGCGAAAACTCAGCCAGCTCAATTGAAATCGTCAGTCTGAGCGGGTCTGACAAAGGCAACTATAATAAAAAAAATCAGAAATGGCTCCTGCGATTTTGCAGTGGATATCGCTGGCTGAACAGCAACAGCAACAACATTGGTGATCACTGTTAAGTTCGGCGGAACAGTCTTTCCATCTCGTCTTCGCAGTCGTGATGGATTTCGGCACGCACTGCGCAGTGACGACCTGCAAGCAGCTCGGTCAGTCAATCCCCTCATCATCATCACCACCATCACCATCATCATCAATGTCTTGACCTTGACTGTTTGTTCTCAATCCACCATTCGCTTTTGTTGATCAACCTGCAGACTTCCTGCCGTACACTTGCGACGCGTGTCATCGAATTCACTGGTAAGTTCTGCTTGTTGACCGATGATGGCGACGATCATGCTGCCAGCCCCCGAGCACATCTTTACAATCAGAGCATTCGCGACTTTGCTTCATCATGCGACACGGGTTGGACTCCAACTCAACTCGCGCAGTGGGGCTTCAAGCTCTGTGGTTGTTCACTCACCAAACCTCTGTGCGTACTTCTGCTTGACTGCAGTGCCGAGCACCGCGCGTACACGGATCACACCTGCCCTGAAGCATACACAAAGGATGCCCGTGTTCCAGAGTGCCCAATATGCGGCAAGCCAGTGCCCGTCCCTCGCAAGGGCATGGATCCAAACCTCGCGGTCAGTCGTCTGGAAATCCAACCCTTCTGTGCTCTTGATGGGTGTCTGTGGCTCTGACCCGTGACAAGAAAAACAAAACCAACCATTGTGAAACAGATGGAAGAGCATATCAACGGTGGCTGTGCGACCCCTGCAGCAACAGCGACCAAGATTTTCGCAAACGCCTGCAGCTTCCAGAATTGCAAGACGAAAGAGGCCATGCCAATGCGGTGCGCAACCTGCCGGAAGAATTATTGTCTGAAGCATCGCATCGAGCAAGACCACCAGTGCTCCGCACAGGCGGGAGCGTCCCAGCAACGAAACCAAGGTTCCGGGCCGTTCCGCTCAACCCCAGCTCAACCCGCTGCTTCTGTACGGATTTGTTGTGCAACTGTGCTGTGCTTGTTCTGCGCATTTACATGGATTGCGAGTAGCAGAAACTCACCGTGTGCATGCCGTTGCTTCTTCTTCTTCTTTTTTTTTTTCTTTTTTTTTTGGGGGGGGGGTTGACAGCGGACGACTCCAGCACCGAGCGCTGCCAAATCCAACACGCGACCGCAGCAGGGCGCGATGAACACAACTGGTAGACAACTTGCGGAAGAGCGAAGCCTGCGACAGACAAACGCCCCATCCAATCGGGCACCAGCAAGCGCAGTCCATGCCAACGGCGGCTTGAGCGAGGACGAGGCTTTGGCGCGCGCCCTTGCCGAGTCAGCACGCATTTCCAGCAGCAGTGGACCGACAAGCAATGCTCCAGATGGCTCTAATCTGAGTGAAGAAGATATCGAGCTCCAGCGCGCCATGCAGCAGTCTTTGGCCGAGCAACAGCGTCGCCGGCAACAGCAACAGCAACAGCAACAACAGCAGCAAGCTTCGAATAGCGAGTCAGGTTGTTGCGTGAGCTAGGTGGAGTCCAACTCTTTGTATTTATTGACAGCAAACTGTATACAATTAAAAATCCCAAATGGCATTGACTTGTTTTCTCTTGTGTTTTTTTACAACTTTGACTTGCGTGTCAACCACTCGTGCTCCTAAAGCACAACCAAGAGCAACAAGATTGTGAGTAAATGTGCTGCACCACCAAATCAAATTTCGACAAAAAAAAAAAACAACCAAAAACAAAAAAACAAAACAAAAATAATCCCTCTCCGATTCAACAAATGACTGACCTGCGGCTTGCGAACGGCGTATGGACTGATCATGACATTCACCAACGACACTTGCTTCTTGTTGCCAATCGCTTCGCGGAATGCAGATCGAAGCTCGTCGGGGGTTGTGGCAAAATAACCCTTGCCGCCAAACGCCTCCGCCACACGCTCGTAGCGCGCGTTCGGCAACAGGCAGTTTCCGGGAGCGGGGCTGCCTTCCTGCTGGTTGGCAGCCCAGGTTTCCTGGTCAAAGCCGCCGTAGATGCCATTGTTGTTGACAACGACAAAGACAATGGGGAGCTGCAAGCGCACCGCAGTTTCAATCTCGAGTCCGGAAAAGCCAAAGGCAGAGTCTCCTTCAATGCAGACAACCTGCCGATCGGGGTACACAAGCGCCGCGGCAATCGCAAAGCCGAGGCCAACACCCATGGTTCCGAAGGTACCGGCGTCAAGCCGGTGGCGCGGGTAGCGGTTGGGAATGACGGTTCGGCCGATATCCATCGTGTTGGCGCCCTCCGACACGATGACGGCGTGGGGCGGGAGCTGGGGCACGATTTCTCCAAACACGCGGTAGTACGTCATGGGCATTTCGTCCGACTTGGCGAGCTCGGCGCTCACGATGCGATTCTGCTCCACCTTCTCCGAGAGCGACTTCCACCATGGCGAGGTGCGCGCGTGCTTCCACGCAGGCTTGGATTGACCGAGCGCGTTCACCAGCTGCTCAAGCACCGAATCGACATGGCCGTTGAGCGCCACGGCAACCGGTACCGATCCGTGAAACTCTTCAGGGCAAAGCTCGACTTGAATGATCTTGACGTCCTTGCGGAATCGAGGCTCCTCGCCAAAATGGAGCATCCAGTTCAAGCGAGCGCCAAGCAGGACAATCACGTCCGCGGACTGCAGCGCTTTGGAGCGAGCAGCTGCAACGCACTGTTCGTGCTGGTCGTCCAGCACGCCTTTACCCATGGGCGTCGGCAAAAATGGCATGCCAGTCTCCTCAACGAATCGCTTGGCATTCGTTTCAGCACGCCCGAATGCCGCGCCCTTGCCAATGACCACCAGCGGCTGCTTTGCGGATTTCAAGAGTTGAATCGCATCAGCGATTGCTTTCGGGCACGCGAGAGATCGCGGCGCCGGCGGGCAGCGGGGTACATACTGCACGCTGGACTCGGGGACTGTGAAGGAATCACAAGAAATCACAAGAAATCAAAAGAAATCAAACGAAATGAGGAATGAGATTTGGGGGGGGGGGCGGCAAGGCGGTGACAATACCGCTTCTGTTGTCAACTCATCGTTGTTTTTACCTTTGCCAGTGAGCATGTCGCCGGGAAGATCAATGTAGGCAGCTCCGGGCCGGCCGTAGGTGGTGAGACGCACAGCGCGCTCAATGTAGAATGGGATACGGTCAATGCTGCTGGGTCTGGCCGAGAACTTGGAGTAGAGACGAGCAGCTTCAACCTAACGCGTGGAAAGAGGCGTTCATGACAAGTCAGGTTTGCTTTGCAGATATTCATTGCACTGGCGGCAGTTTGTTTACCTGCGGAAACTCTTGGAAGCCGCCCATGCCCTCATAGAATGTATCGCTGCGCCCGTCGCAACAAACGTGAGCAACATCACTCAGACAAAGGCGATTCGGCAAAAAAACCTACCATGCACCGCCGAGCAGAATCATGGGCCAGCAATTCGACCAGGCGTTTGCCATGCCTGCCAGCGCATGAATCATGCCGGGACCCGAGACAGCGAGGCACGCACCAGGATGACCCTGTGATCTCGTTCAAGAATCACAGTGTGAGATTTGGTCGTGAATCTCTTTGGTTCAGAGCCCACCGATTCCAACGACTCCAAGACGGTCCCCCGTCCAGTAGTAGTAGTAAAAGTAGGTAGTAGTAGGATTGGCAAGGTAACTCGATCGCCTTACCGTGAGATAGCCGACGGCGCCTGCCGCGTAACTGGCAGCCTGCTCGTTGCGCATGCCAATGTACGTGATTCCCTCAGCCTGTGCGGCTGCTGCAAGCTGCGGTTATTCCACAGAATGCAGCGTTAAAATCAACACAAAATCAACACAAAATCAACGACAAAAGCCGACAAAAAAAAAGCAAGTCAGCGACGAAGCACAAAAGGCGGAAGCGGAGGAACATTGCTCCAAATTGGTTGTTGCCGTTGTTGCTGACTTTGCTCTGAAAGCTCAACCCAACCCAACCCAGAACAGTCACACTCAGTGCAAAACAGTCAGCCACAGCCGCGGGAACTGGGAAGGGGGGACAGGGGCTACGACACAAAGACACGCATCCAAGATGACTCCTTCCAGCGAGATGAAGGATGGATGGGTTACGCACGCCAATCACTGGGATGCCAACGACGCCAAAGAGGAACTGCACACCCTGCTGCGCCAGAGCCCGGGCAACAACAGTCGCGCCTTCAATCAGATTCGCATCGTCGCTCATGGTTCTTCTTGCGCTTGGTTTTTGATGGGGAAAGCGGGAGGGGGGGGGGTTGTGTGTGGAAAAGGGGGAGTGAGTGACAACATCTATTGCTACGAATTTGGAACAATCCAAAGTCGCTCAGACGCAACAAAACGTGTAAATTTACTGCTTTGGAATTTAAATCTATTCATAAAATACCACAATGCAGTCAAGGAATCGTAAATCAAGGGGGAAACAACAACAACAACAACAACAACAACAACAACAACAACAACAACAACAACAACAACAACAACAACAACAACAACAACAACAACAACAACAACAACAACAACAACAACAACAACAACAACAACAAAAAGACGCAACAAAGACTTTGGCTACTCGTCGTCCGAGCGACGAGCATTTCGGTTGCGTTGAATCCAGCGCGTGAGAGCGTTCAACGCCACTCCCGCGGGATGCCCAACAATTTCTGTCTCGAGGTTGTTAATGCACAGCACGAGCATCAGCAGTGGCTCTGTTTGTACGAGCATTGGCAAAACAAAACAAAGCAAAACGCCAACAAAAACAACAAAAACAGCAAACGAAACAATTTCCAAAAAAGAAAAAGTGAGAACAGCACCCAGCCGGGAATCCACCAACCCAAACTCAAACATACCATCAGAATGGTCGGGGGAAATAATCTCATGCACCAGGCGGATGACGCGGTTGCGTCGGGCTGAGCCGGCAGCGCCGCGATCTACTCGCTCGCGGGCCGTGTACGTCACGTACTTGGGCTTGCCATCGACCGCGAGCACGGTGAGAGCAAGAGAATTGACATTGCCAGAAATGCGCCAGACCGCCTCCTTGTCGCCGCGACCGTATTCGGTGAGGAAGAGGTTTTGGACGTGTGTTCCCGACAAGCGCAGACCTCCGAGGCGAGGGTGAACGATTGGCAGATCGTTTTCGCGAGGAATGAGGCGCACAAAGAAAGGACCTGATGGCAGAGTTTGTGTGTGGCAATGAAATGAGAATCGTCAGCATCCAAGTGGCAAGCCAAACAACACACACAAACTCAAATGCTTCTCAGTTTAGTTTGGATTGGGACCTACTTTCAAGAGACGAATTCCGGAAGCATTCGAAGGGCAGCAGCGATTTGTCCGTCTTGTGTTCGTACATGGGATACGTATTGGAGTTTGCAAACAAATCGATGAGGGAAGGAGGCGCGACGCAAACATGAAGAAACGGCTCCTTGTCCTTTGGCTGCGCGGCCTGTGATGCCGTTTTGCGTGCAGTGAGCGGCTTGGCAGTCACCTTTGGCGTTGCTTTTGAGACGAGACTCGGCGTGTCAGACAGCTGTGGCGGAGAGTCCAGCATGATTTGCATGGGCTCTGGGAGCGATGTCACAGACGATCCCTGCGAAGCAAAGGAGCGGCGGTTGCGACTCGTCTCCTTCAGGTCAACACTGGAAACGCCGGTGTCGTAGGTGGACGTTTTCCGGCGCCTCTTGCCAGTTGTCGGAAAAACAACATGAGAGGCAGGATACGCATCCTCGCCCACCCCTTCGTCAACGGTGTCGCTCTCTGCATCGCCCGTATCTTTTGCGTCGCCGTAGCTCCGGAAAGTGTCCGCCACAGCTGGGCTGAATGGTTGACTGCTTCCTGCGCTGGTCAGAGGTGCAAGCGCGGCGTCTGGCGTAGACATTTGCGGGAGCCAGTGTTGCTGAGAGTGGTCGGGCGGGCTGCCAAAGCTGGAACTGAGCGGAGTTGAAACCATGGGAAGCGAGCTGTTGGAGCCAGAGGAGAAGCTGAGTGATTGCTGGTGCTGCTGGTGCTGTTGGAGCGGCTGGAGCGGCTGGTGCTGCTGAGGCACTACTGGTTGCAACAAGGGCTGGTGCATATGCTGCATAACTTGCATCGGCTGCTGCGGTTGCGCTTGATAGTTGGGCGGGGGCTGTGTTGGTTGACCGTAGGGCGAATATTGCTGCTGCGGCAACTGTTGTGGCTGTATTTGGGGCATGTTGATGGGGGTCGGCTGTGCTGTAAAGTACTGCATGCCCGTAACTGTCTGAAGCGCGTACAACGTATGAGGTGGTTGGTGGGGCATCTGAATCTGGCGGATCTGCACTTGTGGGTGAAGCAGATGAGGCAGCGGTGGTTGCGAAGGCTCGTTGCTGTGATGAGCGGGGATCATGAAGAGCTGTCCCGAAACGCTCTGCACAATTTGCGATTGGAATCCGGGCAGGTGCTGCAGCTGTTGCACTTGTTGCAGCTGTTGTTGTTGCTGCATCGGTTGTTGTTGCTGCATCGGTTGTTGTTGCTGCATCGGTTGCTGCATTGGTTGCTGCATTGGTTGCGGGTGTTGAAGTTGAAGCGGTTGCTGCGGTGGTTGATGCATCGGGTAACTTTGGTAGCTACGATACTGCTGTGGTTGATGTTGATGTTGCATGATTTGTTGTACTTGTTGCACCTGTTGGTGTTGCTGTGGCTGGACCACGGGTTGGGCGTTGACAGGCACTGGAGCCATTGCTGCGGGCTGTTGCACAAGTTGCTGAGGAGAATGGCGCGGAGGCGAGTGTCGGCCAGGTGCCAGGACCAAGTTCTGCTGCATTGAAGGTGGCGATTGGCTAGCAAGAGTGGGCTGCCCAGCTGCTTGGAGCTGATGCTGCTCTTGCTGGGCCACAGCAAGAAGACGATGCAGCCCGGTGTCGGGTGACACGTTTCCCTGTCTCGACGCTGCGGCATGGCCACTGCTCGCCCCAGCATTTATAGCTGCAGTCTCTCCTCCGAGTGCAGGGCCATGAGCGGTGGGCGGATCGACCGGTGGCACGGCTGGCTGGGCTTGACCCACGGAGATTTCCCCCACGCTTTCCGAGCTGCTGCTGCTGCCCACGAGATGCACTTGAGCAGCAGCAGCAGCAGTAGCAGCAGCAGCTTTAGTAGTCGTAGCAGACTGAGCATACATTGCCAAAGGCTTCTGGAGGCTTGGGGGCGACGACGACGAGGGCCGCGCTTGCTCTGAGATTGATCTTGTGGCTGATGCGGGGGCGGCTTGTTGTCCACGCCCTAGCTGGCCGTCAGCCTCGGTATGTGGCATCGCAGAGCGACCTGCGCTCCCCGCGACGTCCATACTGCCAACACTGTCCACGGAGCCGGTGCCGGGAGCAAGCTGGGTGGAGGGAGGTGTGGTCGGGATTGCGGGTTGGGAAAAAGCAGCGACGTAAGCTGAAATTGCATGACGCCCGAAAGCGCCGTAACGATTAGTGATCGTCGAGTCCGACGCGGTGTTCTCGGCTTCGGCCAGGCACACGCGTTTGGTTTCGTGCGGCTGGAGTGTGTCTGCATCCGAGGACGCCGAGGTCGAGTGCAGACGTGTCGGGCTGGGCGACGGCGAGCGGGCTCGGACTTGCCCTCGCACTCCAGCGCCCAGCGGCGTGGTATTCGCTTCAAATGCTCCGCTGCTTGTTTCGGTGCTGGGGATCGGAGCGATCTGAGCACTCGGAAAGGCACACGGCATTGCGCTGTGAGGTGGCGAGTGGGCAATATGAGGCGCCGCGGACAACGGTTGGGGAATGATGGGCGGGGCTACGGCGGACGTGTTGCTGTGCGCGAATACGGCAGAGGAGGAACAGGACAACAGTGAATCGGACACGGATGAGGCTGGTGCGAGGTTGCCAGATTCGAGACTGATGGATGTCGACAGCGCAGCTACTGGTGCAGGTGCTGCATGAGCCGCTGGCGGTGCGGATCCGAGGCTGGCGAATTGGTTTCCCTTGGAAATCTCGACCTTCACCAATTCCTCCTCCCTTTGTCTGCTACTACTCGCTGTTTGGAACAGCCTTGTGTCACAATGCATGTTGGTGCAGGTTTCATTGGCGGTGATTTCCGACTCTTGTTGCAGCATGGACAGCGTTGAAAAGCAGATAAAAAAAAAAAAAAAAGCCCTCGAAAACAAAAAGTGAAAGCCTTGTTTACTTCCAAAATAAAATAAACAATTTACAAAAAAAGGATGACTAAACCAAAAGTAGCGCCAAAGCAAAGCAAATGGTTGTGTCGGCTTTCATCGTGTGTGTGTGTGTGTGTGTGTGTGCAACGGAGGTTCAAAGGCGGCTGGTCTGAGTGAAAACAAGCGATGTGAAGGGTCAGCGAGTGAGAGTGGCTGACCCCAAAGAAAACGCTCCATTTGAACAGTTAGCCGTTTTCAAGCTGGCGTTTGAGTTCAAAGGGCCACGACGGGCGCAACTTGGCTGGCAAATGCAGTGCGTACACTGCTTGTCTGATGGCAAGTCTGCTCGCTTGGATGAAGAGCACTCGAGGGGAGGCGGGGGGGGGGCTGCGAAGATTATCGGGAAGCAGCACCACAAGGATGGGAGAAACACACCAAACATCAAAAAATGCATGACACCGAGAAGGCGTTTTTACACTCCCGTACTGTATAATTCTGCTGGCTTGGAAAGAGGCAGATCGGAATGAGATGAAGCCACACAGAGTGCAGGTATTGAATACACCGAGCGATACGGGTTGCTCGCAGTTTTTTGGAAAACTCTCGAGTCAACTCCATGAGAAATCCGGCAAGCGGTGGTTTTTTTTTTTTTTTTTTTTGTTCTTTTGTTTGTTTATACATATGGCAAGAGCGGCAACATTTAAAAATTCACTTCACCTCATCTACACAATCCACTGTCTGCAGCCTCTCAATTTCTTGACGCGCCTGGGCAGCCCTTTTCTTAAACTCTTCAATTTTGCGGTCGGCTGCGGCGGCGTATTTCTCGAGAATGGTGCCAGTCAAGCGTTGCAAGTATTGCTCCACAGTGAGGTCGAGTTCCTCCTCAGTGTACGCTGAGTTCAACTTTGAAAATCTACTTGAAGCCGGCTCTGGAGCTGCAATCACAGCAGCAGCCGCAACAGTAGCCGTTGGTTCCGTCTTTTGTGGCTGAGCTGCAACTTCGTTGTTGGCGCTCTGATTCTCGATGGATGCAGAATCAACCGCCGTCGCGGGCTTGTCCTCTCGAGGAGCCGGAACAGTTCGCTTGGTGCGAGAGGTGGTCTTGGAAACACGGGGAGTCTCCATGACTTCAGGCTCTGTCGGCTTGGCAGGGGCGGCCGCAACGCTGGCAGGCGCTTCTACAGCTTTCGTGACAGGTGCAGGCGCCGTCTCGGTATGAGTGGAAGCTGCTGTTGGTTTCTTTACCACACGACTGCGTGCTGCCGTCCGTGGCACCTCCACAGTTGTTGGAGCGGCGGGCGCCGTGCTTGTTGTTGCTGCTGCTGCCGCTGCAGGTTGAGGGACAGCGGTCGGTGCGATACCCTCCTTTTCTTCTGCGAGAGTCTTGACAAACTGTTGGATAAATGTGCAATAGCCTGCGTGTTTGACGTGCTCTTGTCTGCAACGAGCGGTTGTGAGCGACAGCTGAGTGCAGTACCCATCAGAACACTGCGTCAAACTTACACTGGGTCATCCGTTGGATCCCAACCTTCCAATTCCTTGCTACACGAGAAGCACTTGGCGGCATTTTCATTTTGCTTGGTGGAGATGCTGTACCAGCCGGCTTTGGCGAGCTGTTGGATGTTTGGGTTGTTTCAAAAGTCGGTGAAACGTGTGAGCAGCCTTCCTCATTCTCGACGTCTTCCCCTCCAATCAGCCCGCGGGTTATCCGCCACAATCAAACCAAAGCACATCTGGGGAGAGTGGTCGCGCGGGCAATCCAAGTGCGGCGCGGCCTTCAGCCTGGATCATTTTGTCAACCGTTTTTCAAACAGCAACCGTTTTGTTCGATTTTGTTTCAACCAGAGCTTTCCTCCCCCCCCCTCTCCACGTTCTCTGGCCAGCTCTATCGTCTCAAAGGCAAAGACCAAGCACTCAATCGATGCCATGGATGTCAGAGTTAGGCCTGAGACTGGCCTGGCGCGGGGGGAAGACGAGAATCTCGTGCTCGTGAAGTTGAAACAAGCCTGGTAGAATTCAAATATTGCGCACTTTTTCCCTCCGACGATACATTTGCCTCTGATTTACGCTGCCAGGTCTGAGGACCATTTCGCATTGAACTTGGACGAGAGAGAGTGTGTGTGTCTGTGTTTGTGTGAATTCTCGGAGAAACTCATACCGCTGCAGGATTGGCGGCGCAGTGCTTTGGCAGCGTCCAGTTGCTTTTGAACGAGGCCAAGCGGCCTTCTTCGGTTGCAAACTTGTTCAAACGTGACATGACAAGGAAGAGTGCGTGCTGAGATTTATTCTTGCGTTTTCTAGCGCGACCTGCACTGTTGGACAGCTCGAACAAGCTTCAACCAATTCCAAAACCCGTTTTCACAGGTCTGAGAAATCAGTGCAAAATGTGAAAAATCCGAACACACACAACAGCCGTCGATTGTGCAGTCCACGTCGGGGTTGACGTTTACTTTCAATTCTAATTTCAAGGTCGAATTACTTGTTCGTTGAAATTCGGCCTCGCCAAATCTGGTGTTCGCTCTCTCTTGTCCATACACTTATACAATGGTAACGGCGAACAATTCAGCAAACCCCTCTCCTTCCCCCCCCAAAAAAACCACCTCTGTCTCTCTCCTTCCCTCTCTCGACGCCTGGCAGCGCTTCAACACATCTCTGTTATCACTTGGGAGATTGCTCGTCTGGCTGGAGGGCTGGTCTGAGCGAGGAACGAACTGAAGTGCGCCTTCCGCTGCGAACACCGCTGCGCTCCCCTCTCCGGCCATCCGCCGACCTCTGGCTCACCGACCTGGTCTAATCCGATGTAAAAGAACCTGTTCTATCGGATTCGCGCGGCTGGGTCGAGGCGACAAGCGTAGGGGCGCGAGGGGCTGTGGAGGAGGTTGGGCTGTCGATTTCGAAGATTTTTTTTTCAACCTTCGCGCGCTCCTTGACGCTCTGGCGTCACCCACCACCCACTCCCATTCCACAAACCAGCACCAGTTCTGGCGCCGCCTGTGATCGATCGTCTCCATCCCAGAGAGGGCGGCGGATTCACTTTGCGATGTCGATCTTTCCAATGATTCATCAATTCCACATGTCCTCCTCCACCTTTGCACTCACCTCTCTTTCCTCCTCCTCCTCTTTTCTTGACAACCATCGCTAGGCTCACCGCAAGTTTTCGGCTCCCCGCCACGGTTCGCTCGGCTTTGCCCCGCGCAAGCGCTCGGCCACCCACCGTGGTCGCGTCAAGTCGTTCCCCCGTGACGACGCCTCCAAGCCCTGCCACCTGACTGCCTTCCTCGGCTACAAGGCTGGCATGACCCACGTCGTCCGCGAGGTCGACCGTATGGGCTCCAAGCTCAACAAGAAGGAGATTGTTGAGGCTGTCACCATCGTTGAGGCTCCCCCGGTGGTTGTCGTCGGCGCTGTCGGCTACGTTGCCACCCCCCGTGGTCTCCGTGCCCTCACCACCGTCTGGGCTGAGCACCTCAGCGAGGAGGTTCGCCGCCGCTTCTACAAGAACTGGTACCAGTGCAAGAAGAAGGCCTTCACCAAGTACGCCAAGAAGTACTCGACCGAGGAGGGCAAGAAGTCGATCGAGAAGGAGTTTGACCGCATCAAGAAGTACTGCTCGGTCGTCCGCCTGCTCGTCCACACCCAGACCAAGAAGCTCAACCTTGGCGGCCAGAAGAAGGCCCACATTATGGAGATCCAGGTCAACGGTGGCTCTGTCGCCGACAAGCTCAAGTACGCCCGCTCGCACTTTGAGAAGGAGATCTCCCTCAAGGACGTCTTCTCCGAGAACGAGATGGTCGACGTCATCGGTGTCACTCGCGGCAAGGGTTTCACTGGCGTCACCTACCGTTTCGGCACCCGCCGTCTCCCCCGCAAGTCCCACAAGGGTCTCCGCAAGGTTGCTTGCATTGGCGCGTGGCACCCTGCCAACGTCAACCGCTCTGTTGCCCGTGCCGGTCAGAAGGGTTACCACCACCGCACCGAGCTCAACAAGAAGATCTACCGTGTCGGTGCTGGTGCTTCCAGCGGCGCCAAGAACAACGCCTCGACCGAGTACGACATCACCGAGAAGAACATCACCCCCCTCGGTGGCTTCCCCCACTACGGCCAGGTCAAGGAGGACTTCCTCATCCTCAAGGGCTGCATCATGGGCGCCAAGAAGCGTGTCATCACCCTCCGCAAGTCCCTCCTCGTCCACACCTCGCGTGTTGCCCTCGAGAAGACCAACCTCAAGTTCATCGACACCTCGTCCAAGTTCGGCCACGGTCGCTTCCAGACCATTGCCGAGAAGAAGGCGTTCATGGGCGCCCTCAAGAAGGATGCCCAGGCCGATGCTTAAGCAGCTCGTGCTTGAACCTCTTTCTCGTGTTGCGGCTGTGCCTGCGGCTTGTTGACATGCTTGGCCTTGTTGTCCCCCTGTTGTTGCTCTCCCACGGTGACGCTTGACATTGTTTGTGATGGCTTTTTGTTTGCAAGCAATAAGAGCTTTGTTCTGCCATTGGATTGATTGTGTGTGGTTTTTTTTTCTTTCACAGTGTAAGAGACGGAGGATTGGAGGATTGGAAGCGCCAGAACGACAAAGTGCAATTCTCGACGGTGTGGATAATACTTTTTGGTTAACGCAAGAAACAGATGGAAAGCACAATCTAAGCAAGAACGCGAACAATCTTCTTGGCCCGGAACAGCTCAATGGTGCGGAGCAGCTTGATCTGAGCTCGCTTCTCTTTCGCAGCCTTGGTGCGCTCCTTTGCAGCTTGGTCGCGCTTGCTCTTTGCCTTCTTTTCGTCACTGCTACTGTCACTGTCACTGCCACTGTCACTCCCGCTGTCTGCGTCGTCGGAGTCGGCTTTTGCGTCGCTCTTCTTCTTGTTGTTGTTGTTGTTGTTGTTGTCGTCGTCGTCGTCGTCGCTGTCAGAGTCCTCGTCGGACGATTCTTCCGAGGAAGACTCTTCCGCCACCTGCTTCTCAAGCGTTTCAACACGCTTCTTGGCGTCTTCGAGGGTTGTTTGCCGTGCACTACCATCGAGCTTGTCGATATAGTCTGCAAATGTCTTGAACAGCGTCTTGTCAATCACACGCGGGTCGTACGCGTGCTGCAGCAAGAAGACTTGGCGCACCTTCTTGAACTTCCAGGTCTCAGGCGAGTCACGCCACTCACTCAAGTAGCTCGATGCGGCCTGAATGGCTTCCCGCGTCGTCGCCTCACCACCAGCATCGTCCCCATCTGCTCCGCCCTTGGCAGCGGCGGCAGCAGCGGCGGCAGCGACTGCGGCCTTGATGTGCTTGCTCTTGCGCTTCTTTGCCTTTTTCTTTTGTTGTGTTGCCTGCTGTGCTGGCTTGGCTGTCTGGCTGTCTGCAGACTTGGCGGCGGCGGTCGGACTGTCAGCAGCAGGTGTGCGCGTCCGCGCCGCGCGCTTGGCCAACTTGGCCAGCCTTGCAGGGCTCATCGTGGCAGCTGCCGCCGACGATGCAGATGCTGCAGGTGCGCTCGTCGTCGCAGCGCCGTTCGCAGTGGCCGCAGCGGGCTTTGCCTTGGCCTTGGACTTGGCTGGCGCCTCGTGGCGACCATCGTCAACAACCATCGCAGTCGCCGCTTCGTTCCCTGCCACTGCGCTGCCCTCGTTGTCTCCGTTCGTGTCTGCTGCAGCGGCAACGCGTGTCTTTTTCAGCGTATGCGCGGCTGTTGCGGCTTCTGCATCGGCCGGGTCTTCGCTGCGTCGCTTGGGCATGAGGAGTCTGAGCGAAAGAAAAATAAGACGAGTGATTCGAGGTGCGATCGTCGTCCATTGCACTTTTGACAAAAACCACTTCAACCCGCTTTGATACGCAAAATCAATGTTTGGAGCAGGAACAGCCCGAGGAAGAGAAAGAGCACTCGCTTTGGCAGCCCGATTGTTGCACGATTTCGTTTCCTTCGTTTCTGTTACGAACTGGGCTCATCCGTAATCGGTCTTCCCCTCATTCTTCACTATAGTCTTAGTAAACGATACTTCCGCATACATTTCGTACGCTTCAGTAGTGATTCTAGGCCAAGTTCCGGGTAAGGTCGTAACAGTCGTCCGGTGTGGTTGATCCGGTTGTTTCACCACTTCCCTCATCAATCGATAAGCAAGTTCGAGAAATTTCGCAATACCAACTTCACGCCTTTGTAAACGACGCCACGAAGCACGCCTTTGTAAACGACACCACGAAGCAGCTGGCAGCCTTTCCAAGACAAGTTCTCAGGCAGTGTTTCGCGCCGTTTTTTTCGTTTCCTTCCTTCCCTTCCCTTCCTCCAACGCAGCAATGTCCACCGCAGCCGCACCTCGAACTGAAGCGCAGTGGATGCAGCGCACTGTAAGGACTGAGTTGCAGCGCGCTGTGGTCTGGCTGGTGTGTGCTTTCATGATCCTGACCTCCGTTGCGTCTTGCAAAACTAGCGTGAGAAGCTGCGCCCGATGATGACCAACCGCGGACTCGAGACGACCGGGACCAAGAAGGACTGGGTGGAACGTCTCATGGTTTATGATGCGGAGCAGCAGCAGCAACAGCCGCAGCAACAGCCGCAGCAACAGAAACAGAACTCTGCCTCATACGCTGCCGTCGTCTCCTCGTCTTCAGCAGCAGCACTCTCATCTTCATCAGCAGCAACAGCAGCACCATCAGCAGCAGCATTGCTCTCAACAACAGCACCGCCGCTTGCAACAGCGGCAGCACCAGCATCCTCATCTTCCGCTCCAGCAGTGCCGTCCTCATCGTCTGCTGCAGCAGCCCAGCCGCCATTCGTGCCACCGCTTCAGCCAGCTCAAGGCACCACATTCACTGTTTCCAGTGCGGACTTGGATGGCCTCACTGTTCCGGACGAGATCAAGGCGCTATTGGATTCGCATGGCAAGAGCGTCGAATTGCTCGTTCGCAACAGTTCAAGTGACTTGTTCCAAAGTCTGTTAACATCAAAGCTATCACCCAGGCCTCACTACCTCACCGGTGTTGGTGGTGTCGGCAAAAGCAGTATTCTGCTGATGATGGTCGTGCTGGCGATGCGCCACAACAGGGCCTTCTTCGAGCGCCTCGCTGCTGCTCCTGCTCCTGCTCCTGCTCCTGCTCCTGCTCCTGCTCCTGCTCCTGCTCCTGCTCCTGCTCCTGCTCCTGTTAATGCTCCTGCTGCTACCCCTTTCGATGGCGCCATTTTCCTCATCTACCTGCCTAAGACGGATGCCTTCATTCAACAACCACCTGAAGTTGCGGCTTCTCAACTGATCGGCGATTTGCGAATTGCCAACCGCCGTCTGTTGAGCTCGGGCTTCCTCGATGAGCCCGCGTTTCGGAAACTCAAGGCGGCTTTTGTCGAAGATGATGGGCCCTCACTCAACCAATGGGGTCGCATCAATGCTGCGTTGGTTGGCCTCGAGTCCCAAAGTCACCGTTTCCGTGTCCTCGTCCTCATCGACCAGTGGAATTCGATCATTCATTACAATGCACTTCCTGATGGTCATCGGTTCCAGCTCAAGGCAGACCATCCTGCTCAAGCCTTCTACAAGCTCGACGCTGCGTTCGGTTTCTCGCTTTTCGTTGCTGCAGTCAGCTCCTCGTTCAACATGAGCGCAGACAATGCTTTGAAGGGCGCGCAATTGTCTAAATCTTCGGTTCCCATTGCGCCGCTAACTTCCACAGAGGCTGAGACGCTGCGCGCCATTTGGTACTATCGCAACCCACCGACGAACCAGCCGCGTTTGGAAGTCACTGCCGAACAGATGCAGAGGCTCTTCCTCAAAGTTGGTGGCGTCGCGCGCATTTTGCAGTTTTACGCAGATTCGCGCTACGAGAAGGATTCCGACACCAACTTTGCCACGTTGTGCGTGAATTACTACGACAGCCGACTCAACCGCCTCATCGAGCACTACCGACCCCGTGAGAACTTCAAAGATCTTGTTCAAGACCTTACCACGATTTTCGTGCACGGTCGGCTTTCTGTGCATTTCGCCGACGTTTGGCTGCAGACCGGAATGGTCAAGCGGGATCCTGATGACCTCACGCAATTGATTCCTGTCAGCGACCTCGTTCGCAGAGCTGGAATCACGGTCTTTCGTGCTGAGCGCGGAGGCTTTCTCCACTTGATCTATGCGGTGGCAACCATCCGGTGGCACGCGATAGAGGCATTTTTCTTGCTGCACCTCCGCGATTCGACGGTGTTGTCAGGCGTTTCTCAATCCAGAGCCAGGCTGAGGCTGGCCACGACAGTCAGCGACGTCCATGTTCTCGATCGGTCTGTCGGAGCCGGGAATGTCAAGACGTATCTGCAGACGCACAACAATGGCAAACCGTTCCCTGCGAACACCTTGTTCATTCCTGGCTGGAGCAATCATCCCGTCGCAGACGCAGTGTTGCTGACAACCCGGCTCAACACTACGCCAGCTTTGGTGTTTTTCCAAGTCAGTCAACAATCATACAGCAACCATGCATCGAAGATCCCTGAGCTTGCTACCTCGCCTCTGAGCAACGGCACGTCCGTGATTGACACCTACCGCGAACTGTATGGCATCCACTGTGATAGCGCGTATCAGACACCGGGCATTGCTCAAGGCCAGCTGCCGGATTGCGTCAAGTACGTCTTTGCGACCTCGGACACCAGTACCCGCACGTCGCACTCTGTGTTTTTCATGCAAGCGAGCCATTTGCGAGAAATGGATCCTGCGGGATGGGAGAACATGACGAGATCCAGTCCGTAATTTGCCAATCGCGCTGCATTGTGACGGCTGTCTGTCTGCCTGTCTGTCTGTGGTCAAGCATTTGATGTGTTCTTGGTTAATTCTGTTTGGGGGAATACATGTCTTGTGATTGAGTTGCGATGCAGTTTTGACTCATCGTGTCTTGAGTTTGGCCGTTTTTTCGTTCGTTCGTTCGTTCGTTCGTTCCATTGCATCTGTCCAGTCCAGTCCATGCCGATGTTGTGTTGTTTGTTGTTTCGGTTTCAGGTTTGGTGTCTGTCAGTCTTGTTTTTTGTTTGTGTTGTTGAGCTGTTTTTTTTTTTTTGTACTGTATCAGTTTTGTTTTTGTTTTTCGCATGAACTGTGAGTTTGAAAACCAAAAGTTTTTTTTTTTTTTTTTTTTTTTTTCTCTTAGTACAACTCTGCTATTGTTTTGAATTGAAAACACAACACAAACTCACCCTTTTGTTGTGTTTTTGTTTTGCCGTTTTTGCTTTGACTTGACTTTGACTTTGACCTTGACCTTGACTTTGACCTTGACCTGGCTCATCATCATCATGGACGTGACTTCACCCTTGTGATGACACTTTGCTGCTTACTTGGTGCAAAGTCGCTCGACGGACACTCGGCGGCGGTGCGAACGGCGGTGCGAACGGCGGTGATGCCGGCAACCGCCCGCGCTTGGAGCTGCTCATGGACGAGCCAATGTCGGACGGCTCGACGCCACTCGCGCTGATCAGCGACCTCGATGGCACAGCAGCACGCATGGGCCACCACTCGCTGCTGGCGAACGAGTTCCGCGAGAGCGACGAAGACGAAGACG